TAGAATAGAATAGAATAGAATAGAATAGAATAGAATAGAATAGAATAGAATAGAATAGAATAGAATAGAATAGAATTCTTTATTGGCCAAGTATGATTGGACACACAAGGAATTTGTCTTTGGTGCATATGCTCGCAGTGTACATAAGAAAAAATAAAATACATTCATCAAGAATCATAAGATACAACAATTAGTGATAGTCATAGGTTACTAATAAGTAAACAAACATACTAGGAAAACAAATAAAACAATATAAATTTTAAAGATACAAGCAACACATAGTCATAAGAGGGAAGAGATAGGTAATAGGAAGGATGAGAGGAATAATAGTAATACAGTCTTATTAAGTAGTTTGACAGTGTTGTGGGAGTTAGTTGTTTAGCAGAGTGATGGTGTTTGGGGAAAAACAGTCCTTGTGTCTAGTTGTTCTGGTGTGCAGTGCCCTATACCATCGTTTTGAGGGTAGAAGTTGAAACAATTTATGTCCAGGATGTGAGAGGTCTATAGATATTTTCACAGCCCTCTTTTTGACTCAAGCTGTATACAGGTCCTCAATGGAAGGCAGGTTGGTAGCAATTGTTTTTTCTGCAGTCCTAATTATCCATTGAAGTCTGTGTCTGTCTTGCTACTGTTTGTAGCAGTCCAGGGGGTTTTCCTGGTCGTTTTTTCATTGTGGCGCAGATGATGCAACTTTTCACATAACTGTCTACATCTTTCTTTATGCCAGGCTACCAGAACTGCCTCTGGGCCAAGTGTAAAGTCTTTAAGAACCCAAAGTGGCCTGCAGGTTTGGCGTCGTGGCTTCTCTGAAGAACTAGGGTGCATAGGGATTCCAGATCGTAGAGTTTTGTCCCCTTCCATGCCAGGTTATCTCTTTTTGTCAAGGTGTGTTGATTGTTCCGGAACCAGGGGTCTGCTAGCAGTTTGGTTTTGAGTTTCGTAGTTAGGTCGTCTGCAGGTTGGTCTTGCCGATCACAGCGTTGCCATCTGGTGGTTACTTGGACAGCTATTTGGGCAGGGGGGATGATGCCATTTACGACCTCCTCACTTTTGCATTTGTACTGGGGGAGAGGGTGTCAGCCAGAAAGTTCCTCCCCCACCCGGGATGTGTTTTAGCACGAAGTCGAATCAGTTGAAGGGGTCCTAAGGGCTTCCATGTTTTTATGGTTGGTCCAGACTTTGAATGGTCTCTGCCCCCTTTCCAGCAAGTGTCGCCAGGATTGCAGTGCCCATCTCACTGCAAAAGCCTCTTTTTCCCATGCAGCCCATCGTCTCTCTGTGTCCGTGAGCTTGCGGGAGGTGTAGGCACAGGGCTGTAGGCTTCCTTAGTTGTTTCTTTGGAGTAACACTGCTCCCACTGCCACGTCAGTGGTGTCTGCTTAAATGACGAAGGGTTGTTTGGGGTCAGGATGCTTCTATACTGGTTCTTCTGCAAACAGTTCTTTCAATGTTTCAAATGCTTTTTGGCAGGTTAGGCCACTATAGGGGTTGTTCCAGGTGGGGTTTCATTCCTGGACTCCCTGTCTTTAGGAGGTCTGTCATGGGTTTGGCAATCCTCATGAAGGAGGGGATGAATTATCGGTAGAATTTTGCAAACCCAAAGAAGCTTTGTAGCTGTCTGCAGGTACAAGGGGGCTGCCAGCCCAAAACAACTTGTACTTTGGCTGGGTCCTTCTCTATGCCCTGATTTGAGACTCGGTAGCCCAGGTGGTCCAACTGTGCGGGGTGAAATTCGCATTTTGACATCTTGACATACAGGTTTGCTGCTAGATGTTTTTCCAGTACTTGGCAGACTAGGGGTATGTGGTCGTCCAACAGCTCAGTGTAGATGAGAATGTTGACCAAGTAGACAAGAACCCCCTTACAAAGATATTTGTGCCACTTCAGATAAAACTGCATTGTATACCTCTAATAATGATTGGCCCAAAATATCTTGTAGCTCTTTGTATATTTCTGCCGGTAGCCCATCTGGGCCTGGTGTTTTGTTGTTTTGTTGTTTTGTTGTTTTGTTGTTTTTAATTGCCTCTGCTAGTTCGGTTGTAGTTCTGTCATTCAGCATAGAGTTCATTGTTTCTGGCACTTTCTGACACTAGATAGTGTAGTATTTTCTCCTCTGGATATTTCTCATTATCATATAGTTCCCTATAAAAGTCCTGGATAATAATCTTTTTTTCCTCAATTTGATAACGTAGAATTACATCTTTATCTTGCAATTTACTTATCCATTTTTTTCTGTTTCTCCTTTTTCAGTTTATAAGCTAGCCATCTTCCTGATTTATTTGCATTCTCAAAAAAGTTTTGTTTTATTCTTCTTTTTCAAGGATATTCAATTTATGTTTAGTTAGGTCCATTTGCTGCTTTAGTTTGTGTGTGTGTGTGTTTCCTTTTGTAACTCTGCTTCAAGTCTTTTATATTCTTCTTCTAAGGTTCTTTGTTATTGCTTCTTCCTTTTATTTTTCTTCGCTGTAAATGTTATGGCAACTCCTCTCATATATGCTTTCTCTGTATCCCATAGGTTTTGTAACAAAGTGTCTTCTTTCCTTTTCTTTAAAGAAGAATCCCATTTGTTTTTCCAACATCTCTTTAAATTCTATATCTTTTAGTATCGATCAGTTCAGAGTCCATCTTATACGTTTCTTTAGTTCTTTCCAGCTAATTCTCATTGGATTGTGATCTGGCCATAAATTTGTATTTGTTACTGCCTCATATACATTTGTATTTAATTCCATCAACATCCATATCATGTCTATTCAGACCAGGATCTGTGTCTGTTAGAATAAAATATGTATTGGTTTTCCCCCCAGGTTCCTCTCTCTCCATACATCTTATATATTTAACTCTTCTGCCACTTTGAAGAAGGTTCTAGGTAGAATCCTTCTTACTCCTTTCCTTATTTTATTGTTTTTATAGTCCAATTTTTTGTCTGTTATTGCATTGAAATCCCCTAAAAGAGATATTATCACACTTCATATCCTGTATAGTATTGTGTAGATTTTTATAGAATTATTCTTGTCCACTATTTGGTGTACAGATTGCAACTAGGAGTACCTGTTTTTGATTTAATACTGTTTCCACAATTAAAATCCTTCCCTCTTCATCTTAATATATTTGGTTAGCCTGAATTGTTTCTTTGATGTATAACACCACTCCTCTCTTTTGTTGTGAAAATGACACAAATAGTTTCCCCAATTTGGGGTACTCCAGTAGTTGTTTGTGCTTTTCTTTTATGTGGACTTCTTGTAGTGATAGACTCAATCTTTGTAATTTGTTGGTGGTTTTCTTCCTTTTCATGGGTGAGTTCAGTCCATTGATATTTAGTGATAGTATCTTAAGTTCTTTTGCATTGTTCTATCTATATCTAGGTCTTATATTCCTGGTTGCTCTTATTTCTCTCGGTTATTTGGGTCTTGTTCCATTGTTCTCTATTCGGTCCTTTTTCTCTTTTGCTGCAGTTCCTTTTCTTCTATGGCAGGCATTCCTTGATCTCTATCTTCTAACGCTTCCCTCTCCTGCAGTTCCTCTTCAGTACCAAAATACTGGTTATGAAACTCCATCGTTTTGTCCAGTGAGTCTAGTCTATATCTCTTTTCATGCCGTATGACCAGTATTCCTTCTGGGGTCAGCCATCTAAACTTAACATTACACCTGATCAATAACATAGTTAAAAATTGGCACTGCTTCTGCAGCTCTTTAACTCTTTTCGGAACCTGTTTCAAAACTACCAGTTGTTTCTCTTTATAGTGTATTGGCTCATCTCTTACCCTGTTAAGCACTTCATCCCTCATTGATTTCTTCACGAATCTTACATGCACCTCCTTTGGTAATTTGTATCTCCTTGCATAATTCATGTGAATTCTATATGTTTCGTCAATTTCTATCAGCATCTCTTTTTTCTCTGTCCCTAATGCCTTTGCAAGTAACTCTGCCCTAACGTCTGGTAGGTCTTCCTCTTTCTCCTATTCCATATTCTGGAATCTCAAATAATGTGCTGCTTTTCCTATCTCTAGGAATATTACTATTACTCTTTGTTTGCCTGGATCAATCTATCGTTTATTTCAATTACTCTTTCTTCTTCTTTCTCCATCCTCTCTTCTATTTCCTGTATTTTTTGTTCATTTTTTGTAATCAGTTGCTGGAAATTATCAAACTTTTCATCCATCTTTTGTATCTTGTTTTTTAATTCTCCTATATCACTTCCCACTTGTCCTATTTCCCTCTTCATTTTGTCGTGGTTTTTTGTCATAGTCTCCTGCATCGATTGGAGCATGGTCTGTAATTCCCTAAATGGGTTTGATCTCTCCATTTGTAACATGTCTTCTATTGACCTCTGATTGGATAGGCTTGAGGTAGCTGATGATGGTGTGGAGGCAGGTTTCTTCCCTAACTCTATCTTAGTTAAGTTTGAAGTGCTTGTCATGGTCAGCAATTTTGTCAGCTTTTTCAGTAACCAACACCTCCAATCATTTCTGACACGTATATAACCCTCCAGCAACCCAAATCTCGCTTAACCAATAGCTATAAAAAAGAAAAATCCACTTCCATTCTTCTTTTAGTCCATTCTTTTGTACTCCACAATGCCCTATATGTAATTAGGAGATAATAATAATAGTAATGGTGATGATGATGATTATGATAGTGATGAGACCAGGATAAGAGGAGGGAATTGGTAATCCAAAAGGGATTGTTATACTTGTCCTTAATGTTCTGCTTTATTTGTCCATTAGTAGTATTGTAGGTCCATAGAGAATGTTTGTAATCCACAAGTCCTGTTAAATCACCAACCTCCAGTAGAACAGTATTCCAAAAAAGTGAAGACAGCTTTAATCCACATTGTTTGTAATCCACCACAAGTCAGCCAGAGTTATAAAGTGTCCAAGAAGTGAGAAGAGAAAAAAGGAAATATTCATCACTTCCACGATGCTTCCATTTTATACCCACATTGGCCAGTAGTATTGTAGGTCCATAGCGAATGTTTATAATCCACCAGTTCACAAGTCCTGTTAAGTCACCAACCTCCAGTAGATCAGTATTCCAAAAAGGTGAAGACAGCTTTAATCCACATTTTATACCCACTTTGGCCAGTAGATGTCCTCCTTGCTCCTTTCTTCTCTTCTTACCATACTTTATATGTCAATGTAAGGGGGTTAGACATTTTGCTTTCTCTGTTTTAGCCCAAAGTTCAGAAAAGTGACTCAATATAATTACAAATTATCTCTATCCCAAGTTAGCTCTATCTGGATCTTCTTTAACAGGTCCAGTCCAGTCCAATTTCTCTGATTTTTTTATAACAACAATTCTCCCTTCACAGTTTGCTTATAGATCTGTGACTGCTCCGTGTTTTATTTTTCTCACCACTTCTAAAGTGGAGGGAGAGAGAAGATATTCCCTTCCTTCCTTCTGTCCAGAGCCCCCCTTTCTTCTTCAATCAGCATTGGAATTTCACTCACTTTGGTAGGAGTTGGGAAAAGGTCCAGTCCATTGCTTCCTTCCACTTTTTCACTGCTTACTCTGACCAGCTGTCGTTGCTTCAGTTTGGCCATTAATGGCCGTATTCTTCTCCACCTTCTTTCAGGAAGGATTTCTCCTGACCAGCAAAATGAACTGCCATCCATTTGTGATCTGCAGAGAGCCCTTCCTCTCCTGTTGCCCCTACAGATGGACAGAAACTGGCTCTGTGGCGCTCCCACTCACACACCCGTTTGCAATGACACCAGCTGGCTCCTCCTTCTTTATTGATTTGGGATTATTTTGAACATAGAAATTATAAATTGATTGTGTTTTGTTTTTTCAATTTGAAATAGATTGATCAAATCCTCCCAATGTATGGAAAAATTGAAATGTTTAGCTCTACTATTTTGAGGAACTTTGGGAGCTACAAAGAAATGCTGATAGAGTTCAGATTTAAACCTCTACTCTAGCAGACAGAATAAATCTTGCTGATTCTCCAAATGTACAGGTGGCTTAAAAATTTGATTGGGAGATGCCACTCAGTTACACGATCAGAAACTATTGTTCCTCGCTGGGAGCAGGACTACCATTTGCAGCCCAATGGCAAGCTTGGATTGTTTTATGAATACCTTGAAATGGGTAAGTCAACCAACCATTTTATTTCTTCTTGTCATGTTATATATTGGATCAAAGTTTGCTTCACAGATTCTGTTAAATACAGAATAGAGGAAAAGAAAAGGAAGAGAATGTGTGTGTATCTCATGTACATGTGTGCAATCCTACACACATATGCAGGCCTAATGCAAAGAACTATGCTTAAATTATATGTAAATGAATGTGTAAATTTATGCTGGAATTTTGGTTGAGTCATAGACTTCAGCATTAAAAATGCTTCGGTATGTGTCTTGAATACAAAGTCCATTCATGCTTACCTCTCTCTGAAAAGATGCTCAAACTTTTTAATTCAACTTTAGTATACCAATTTTTCTTAAAGGGTTTTAATATACTGTAAAAGTGGGAAGAGCATCCTGGGTACCACCTACATTTTTTAAAGCCTTGGTTAGGGCAGAAGTCCATATTAGCTCAAAAGTATATTGTATTAATAATGTAAATATTCTTTTGTTGAAATATTGAATAACATGTTGGAAATTTATTGAATAAGATACTGCAAATGATTGAATAAACTTTGAATGATATGCATCATGTTGTGAATATCTCCTGTATGTTTTGGTCTATTCTAGCAAGAGAGAAGTATATAGCAATAAAATACTTCAGCTGTATTTTTTTTTTTAAAAAAAAGCATCCTAATTAACAATATAATTCAACAGCTGGTGGCATTTAGATGATTTCTGCTGATATAAAAAGGTAACCACCGTCAGTTCTGTTTAATAAAAGCAATCTAGGACTTTTAGGGCTTTGGGCTGGATTGGAAAGATGTCAGAACATAATGAAAAGACTTGGCAACTCCATCCCTAAAGCAAGCCAGGAAGGGCATGTATTACATGAACTTTCATTACTGAAAATTGAGCTCAACTCAAAAGCTTTTTAATTTTTTTTAAAATTAACAATAAAGAACCTTTTAATTGTTGCCTTGATTCTTGATAGCTGCAAATTGCCAATAAATGTATCTAAATAAGCATACCAGATTGTTGTGTTCAATTAGTTCACATATATTAGGAATTGATGGGTTTTGGCTGATCTTGAGTAGCTACAATTTTGGCTGATACAATATTTGAAAACAGATAAAGCACTACTGTTCCATTAACAATGTAATAATGTATTCATTATTTCCAGTTATACAGTTTGGATTTGTAACATTATTTGTAACATCATTCCCATTGGCACCACTTCTGGCCCTTATTAACAATTTATTGGAAATTCACGTAGATGCTTGGAAGATTACCACACAGTATAGACGCATGGTTTCCCAAAAAGCCCAACATATAGGGGCATGGCAACCTATCATGCAAGGAATAGCCATTCTGGCTGTGATAACCAATGTAAGTACATATTTACAACAAACATTTCCTGCTTATAAACATTACAAGAATTTGTACTTTTTAATAATTCACTTGTTAGATATTATAAAAACCAACCATGATTAAACAGTAGTTGGACTAGAGAGACTCAGATTCAGGTTCACCCTCAGCCACCAAAACTCACCTGAACCTCAGTCAGTCTTTCTGTCTCTCTTTCTCTCTCTCCAATCCATTTCACAGATATATTTTTGTGGTAATTAAATGAAGGAGATTTTAGAAAAAAATATGGGATTTAAATCTAACAAATAATTCAGGACAACCACAGTTAATAGAACCTCATTCAAAAGACATCATATGCAAAGAACAGAATTTTCAGTCATCCTCCCCCAAATATTAGTAGTCTGCTTTCATGTGTTGTTCTTTTGATTAAGAACCATTAGAGACTTAAGGGCCTTTGTAATATCTGACTTTTCACAAATGTAAAAGCTGAGCGTGCTACAAACAGGTTCAGTAGACAGCCCAATCACTAACTCTGCACTAGAATCTGAGGGTACTTATTTAGCCAAACATTTAAAACCAAAACCTCAAACTACCTCTATCTATTCCATTATTATCATTATTATTATTAATAATTATTAATATTATTATTATAAGAGAGTGAAAAATAATCCCATTATTAAGAACCATCAATCTCCTCTGTTAAATTCATGTTCAGTTCTCTTCACTGCATGAATTTGTTAGAAATGGTAATTTAATAACTATTCCTGACAATTGTCTGTAGCCTTTTGTCCTGTTCAAATGCAACTCCATATGCAGCATATTGAATTTATCTAGACAGGAAGCTACCAGAGCATGAAATACTGTGGTCAGAAAAAAAATGCAGCTAGCAGAGAAAAGTGATTGGATACCTATTATGTCAAGAGACCATCTGGGTGCCTTGAAAGAGACATACTAGTAGCTTTCCTAAATAATTTCCTGGGCACAGAGATATATGAGATATGCCACTCGAGTGCAAGGTACTTGGAAGGGTATTGGCTGAAAGAAAGCAAATTATCAAGATTGATTCTACTCTGGTTTCAGACCAGGAATTTGGAGGCCTATTTGTCCTGTTAAATAACTGCTCCAAGCAAGTCTTCCTATATGTATTGGCAGATTATAATAGTTGGTAGCAGAGTCAGCCAGATATTTAGACCAGTTTTGGCATTTTTGTCCCCCTATCGAGTCCTTTCTGAGGACAGTTAAACAGGTGAGAGTGTTTAATATATTGTCACAGGATATAAGCTATAGATTCAAGAGTTCAAAACCAAATCTCCCTACTTTAATAGTGAACTAAAGATTCTTTCAGAAAATTAATAAGCATTGTACTATATTTTTAAATAGTTTGCAGATATACATATAGGCATTCCACAGAAATGAGAGCTAATTTGGTGTAGTGGTTATGACATCAGTCTAGAAACTGGAAATCTGTGAATTCTACTCCTGCCTTAGTACACAGAGACACCTTAGGTTAGCCACTTACTCCCTGCCCTAGGAAAGAGGCAAAGGCAAAATACTTCTGAAAAATCTTGTCAAGAAAACTGGAGGGGGTCTCTGAGAATTGGATATGATTGAACAGAAGAAAAAGAAGAAGAAAAAAGTCCACATAAATTGTGTAAAATACCAAGATTTTAGAACTACTGAAATCCAAGGATAGCTCCTTATATCTTTTATTCATATTTAAAATGATTGCCTGAAATATCACACAGGATAACAACACCAACATACTTAGTGTATCCATTACAAACACAAAATTGATAATTGGTTAATACATTTGTGAAATACTTTTTATCTATTTGTAAGCCTCCTAAAGTCACTTCCAGGTGAGATGGGTGGCATATAATTTTATTAAATAAATAAATACATCTGTCATGACTTAGATCAGTTTAATGAATATCCTGCTGTTTTCCTAAAATATTTATACAGAGATAGTGTCAACATTGCAAGTAATGTACCCACTGAAAGCAGAACTCCGAGGCAGGTATATTCCTCCAAGAACAATTTATCATACTGGCACAATTGGGGAAAACCGACTCTGAAAGTTCCTGCGGTTTTCATTTAATTAAAAAGTGAAAGTTCCCCCTTCCTACCACATCATCAGTCACATTGTCCAAAAGAGATGCTGGCCGGTTTCTTGGTTACTCCACTCCTCCTCTCCCCAGCACCTGTTGGACCTTGGCTCCCACGGGAAATTTTTTTGTTTTGACTACAAACCCCAACTATCTATTTCCCCTCCCCCCATCTCTTTTTCTTCCTTGTGGCAACCCTGAAGCTTCAAAGATGGCCTCAGCCAAGTTCGCTTCAGGGTTGACAGATAAGCAATAATAGGAACATAAAATATGATCTCTCTCTCTCTATCCCTTTAATGTAAAACAAGCCTCAAATCTTCCTACTTTTAGGAAAGCCGTTAAAGCCTGGGAGTTCCCCCAGCCATTAAAGGCCAGCTGGGTGGTATGTGTCCCCCCAACCCTCTATGGTAGTTTGTTGTGCATTTTGCCACCATTTTAGTGTTTGTATTGCTATACTGTCTGCTCATTGTTATATTTGTTAGTTTCTTCTTGATTTATTGTGTTTATCTTGTACCCTGTACCCTCAGATACACACTGACTGAGTTGGGCAGACTTATACATCTTAAAATTAAATAAATAGTTAAATCATCTTTTTTTAATTCAGTCAGAGAAGCTACTAATTCTTGTTGCAAAAAAAATCAAATCATGGTAGATCAGTGATATAAAAGTTTCTACCTAAGATACATTCTCAGGTTTATTACACAGATTTGAATAGATATTAAGACATTGAAAATTTATGTCATAAAAGGAACTATATAAATAATCTACATTTTTAAGAGAGATAATAGTCTTTTAAACATGTTTCTTCTTTAAATGATTTACCAAGATTCAAACATCATTTTTCAAAAATGTTTGGGATAAACACAAGTAGAGAAAATTCAGATCTTGCAATATTTAACTCAAATTTAGTTTCTTATATTGCTATCTGTAAGTTATATAAACTAATATAAATGGTAGATCTCTAGCTAATTGTCATAAGCTGACATGTAATTTAAAATATTTAATTTGTGAAGGAATCAGCTTTGAAACAAACTGCACCAGGCAAAGATAATGCTTTGTAGATTCTCAGTCATCCTGGTCATGGTTTTCCCAAAGGAGGGGAAGCAATTCATTCTGGAGGCAACTGGACTTCTTGTTTTTTCTTTGAAGAACTTTCACTTCTCATCCAAGAAGCTTCTTCAGGTCTGACAGGATAGGGGGAATGGAAGGATTTATATTATATTATATAATAATATAATATGATCATGTTTATAATATAAATCCTTCCATTCCCCACTATTCTGTCAGACCTGAAGACCTTTGGACAATGCTTGGGACTTTGCATATTCTGACATCAGTGAGGAATATTAGGTAAAATGAAAATAAATTATTAAATAAACTTATAGCTATTGTTACTGCAAGCTTTATAGAAAGAATAAATTAGATAAATTTATTCTTAGATTATTAAATTATTAGTAATTAGTTAGATTATTAGTAATAATAATTAGAAAATGCTGTTGGTTCATAGAATACATTGTACTAATTTAAAGTAGTGAGACATAAAGAAGGAGGTACAATCATAAAGAAAGAAGGGATATGTTACAACAGATTTTCCTGAAAGCAATTGCTGCGTATTTAGAAGAATTTAGTAGAAATAATAAATTTAGTAGAAATAATAAACAGGAGTTCTATACTGTATTTGTACTCTACCAAGAATGCAAATAATCTGTATAATATTTATCTATGTATATCTCTGTTTAGGAAGATTTAAACCATCTGTTTTTATTTGATTTATTTGATTTCCATAACCAACCATCTCAGCAAGTGAATGTTCTCTTATTCCTGTTTTCAATATAGGCAATGATAATTGCTTTTACATCAGATATGATTCCACGCCTGGTTTATTTCTGGTCATTTTCAGTCCCACCCTATGGAGATCACAGTAGCTATACCATGAAGGGATATATAAACAATACTCTTTCTATTTTTGCTGTATCCGATTTCCGAAATGAAAGCAAGCCACATGTTATTCCCATATTTGCCAATTTAACAATATGCAGGCAAGTCTATATCCTGATTAAAGTAATTAGATAGGAACAAAATCAGTATGCCTTTGCTTGTTAGGCTGTGTAAAATAATGGAAATTAAAATTGCTAAAAGGAAAATCAAGGTATTTTAATTCTGCGCAACTATTTTTATTATCTTACATAAAAATATAAAAGTAGTATGATGTAATTCTGCAATTCTGATATGGTTGTATACAGGGGTGGGTTTCTACCGCTTCTGTCCACCTCTGTGGAACCGGTAGCTCTGAAGAGCAGCAGACATAGAACCGGTTCTATGTCTGCTGATGTTTTTGCCTACCCGCCCGCCCGGGCTCTTACCTGACCTTTATTTCCTGCTTTTTCAACTTCAGCTGCTGTGCGAGGCACAACTGCAGTTTAAAAAGCAGGAAAAAAGTACTTTTTCAAAGGCTGCTTCTCTGCATGCAGCGCTGCTCAGCTGTCCAGGCACTAAGCTGATGACGATTTACAGGCGCATGCGCAGCATGCAGGGAAGCACATCGTAAATCACTGAACCTCGTTAATCACCGAACCGGTAGTTAACCCTGTCAGATCCCACCCCTGGTTGCATATTTGATTGTAATTTATTCTAATTACATTTTCTTATACAGTATGTTGAGTTAAAATCAGAGCAACAGGTATCTTTTGCTCCCCCTTCTGGTCTATGTACATTATTGCAGACATTTGAAATAATTGTTGGGATGACTTTTTTTAACTATGTTAGATATCGAGATTTCCGAAACCCTCCTGGACACAAACATCAATATGAACATAATATTTATTACTGGCATGTTATTGCAGCCAAATTAGCATTCATCCTTGTGATGGAGGTCAGTATATTTATTTCTAAATCTTAACTGTTTTTTCCCCAATTTTTAGCATCAAAGCCCTGTCAGTATCTGTTGTATATTTCTTACAACTATCCAGTTTCCCTTTGTCTATCCTTATATGAACCTATCACAGACTATTCCTTCTGCCAGCCATCGTAGATTATCATATACAATCAGTGAAAATTATTAATAAGAGCATATTATTTAAGGGAACACTACATGATCTTGCTATTAAGTCTCTTCAAATAGTTTGTTACCCACACTTACTGATGTGCAGATTCTACTTTATATAACTATAAAAGCTGGCAAGTAGGATTGATTTCATATCAATTTATAACAGACATGAATGTATGTATGGAAATATTCTCTTGTACTTTGACCAGCGCTAAATTCAGTTCTATACTTTAAGCATTGTCTCTGATGTCATTAACTCTTCATCTGGTTTTACTGTCATTTTTTAACCAGATCACTCCATCCATACTTTATTTCTGATTCTCACTATCAATTTTATGTTCTTTCTTTAGTTAAAAATGGATACCAAAAATTTGCAAATATTTTTTATTTAAATGAAAAGACTCTAAATCAATTTAATTTTACCTTCACTGTTCTTAAAGATGCACTTTGTGAAAAAAATGTTCAATGAGGATGAAATTTGTATTTTTAAAAAATCTTTCCTGTGTTGTATTATCCTAACAAAATGGCAACAGTTCTTCTGTTTAATTTTTTAAGATGGAGGATAAAAATAATTTCCAAAGAGAATGCATATATGGATGCTGCCTTTTCATTACTTTTGTAATGACTGAGATAGGAAAAAGCAAACCTAATGTTAATGTTAAGGAGATGGCATTAGAATGCTATGCTTCCACACCTTATATACACAATAATGGCCTCAATGCCAGTAGTTTACTTGTAATCAAATGCTGAATTAATGGAACAGATATTGCCAACTAAATAACCTCTTTTTTTTAACCATCCTGCAGCATTGCATAAAGAAATATTTCTCTTTTTAGTTGAGCTAAGACAATTGCTCTGTGGGGTACAATTTGATTTTTTGTCTGGAGATCAGATCCCTCTATCACAATGAATGATAAGAAACAGCATTATATACCTTTCACATTAATCAGAGAATTACAAACGGGCACATCAACAATTATGCTGTTTTTTCTCCCTCCAATAATACTTGTTCATTGTAAGAAACTGATTGTCTTTCTATTAACTTTTTTTCCAGCATGTCGTCTACTGTGTGAAGTTTGTCATTTCATATACCATTCCAGATGTGTCAAGGAAAACTAAGAGCAAAATTAAACGGGAGAAATACCTAACACAAATACTTCTTCATGAAAATCCTCTAAAAATTATTAAAAAAAATATGGGGAACATAGCTGACAAATTATTAAAAGAAGCAGATACTACTTTACAACCTAAATGTGAATAAATGCTAGTTACAACATGTAATGAGTGAAATATTCTAAGAACTCAACATGAGTTGGATTAAAAACTTAATAGGTCAACATCAGAAGAGAAGAAGTAAATATTCGTAAACACTTTTAACAGAATTGACATATGTACCATATATTCTCACTCATAAATTCTCCTCAGTTGTTTTCTGCTTGGAAATTTCCTCTTAACAGTCTTGATATATATTATTAATCCACCCAACCAAACATCCTCTTAGTTCATGAATTCCTTCTTTAGTTGGAAAAAATAAATTATCTGTTATTATTTCCATCTTTATATAAAATTTTATTTTGTATTTCAAGGTCTGTCAGAGAGGAGAAATAGAGTAGTTGAATTTCAAGTCAATTTTCTGCTATAGTGGGATGTATGCTATCATATGAAATCATGTAAAAATCTCTTGGAGCAGTATGAAATAGAGCACAATAGATAAAGATGCATTAATATAAACTGGCACGTGACTTAAACTAGAAAGAGACATATATCTTCCAAATGTTTACAATAGAACATTGTAAAAATGAGCTACAGCAAGTTTGACTCAATTACTATTTTAGAGTGTAGAAAACTTCATGTAAGTGCTATGAATTCAACCTAACAATATTTTATTATGTTTACCGTATTTCTGCATTAGATGTAAGGCAGTGTGAAAGAAAACACCTGCAGGTCTAAATTAGAAGGTCTAAGCTAATCTCTGACATATAACAACTTTATAAGAGTATGGATATGCACAATTTATTACATATTTTATTTTACGATGTTGATTTTTTATTTTCATGTAATGGCTTCCTTTTGTGGTTGCTGTATATAGTTATATAGAATTGTAAGAACACAAATAGGTGTGCTCAGTAAAATGTTGAAAAGATAAAAAAAGACAACATTATGACATGGTATGAGCAAATATTCAGATCCCCATGATTAACAAATCAAAATATCCTTGACATTTTAGATATTTAAATTTTATCAATAGCTAGGAAAATAGAAGATCTTTTTATATTTTCTCTGTTGTCTGCCTAACTGACCACTTCAGCCTTTTGTTAACACCATAGGTCAAAGATGTGTGTGTGAATTGCTTTGACAGTTGGATATATAGTTACGTACCAATTTCTGGAGGAAATAGGGATGGTATTTATGGAAGGATTCATGAAGGATTATTTATGAAGGATTTAGATAACAGGATCATATACTTGATACAGGAGGATGCAATTGATTTCAGGCATATGTTTAACAATGAGTAAATGCATAAGGAAATATGTTTACAGCAGGATAACATATATTTTACAAGAGAGCAAATGTCAAAAGAGTAACTTTCTACTTAATGCTATGATATTCTACTTTTTATTTATTATCATTATTCCCTTTCAACTTTATATGATCACAATCTTAAAACCAGAGCTACAATATGAATACACTCTAAGTTCTTACTCTTACACCAAAGCTTTCTAAAATGCACAAATGAAAAACTATAGTTTCAAAGGCAGCACTTAAGATAAAGTGAACTTCATTAATGAAATTAAACACCCACACACCCATCCATCCGAACATCAATGCAAAACCATAGCTCACCCTGCCCAAAAAGGACCCTCCAAAAATAACAGACTTGTAGGCAGTGAACCAGATGCAAATCTCAGGGAGGACCATCTACCTATAAAGCCAAAGGAACGGGGGTGGGGAGGAGGAGGTAGGGAACAGATCAACCCGCAAATCCTGTAAATCCCAAAGCTAGCGCCCCCTTAAAAGAGAAGACTCCTAGAAAGCACATACACACGCCAGCCCAGCTAAAAAGACACTAGCCAAATTGGCTCTGCTGAGCCCGGAGAGGTCCTGTGGCTTGCTGAGAAGTCGGAGAATGCGGTTGGTGAGCATGTGCACTTTAGAAACCCCATCCCACCCTCAGGGATGTTTCAAAACGCAATGGGGCTGTTTTGTTCACTGCCAATTGAGCGACCTGATCGAAGCTTCTGCTGAGCCCAATGTATGTAGCAGAGACTGTACGGGGTTAGTTTGGCCAGGCAAATTATCCCCCCCCCCCCCCATGCTACCAAAGTGGATTCCTGGGTGCTGCGCTACAATGTAGAAATGGGAAATGGAGCAGCCATCATGAGGGGAGCAGGAGGAACAAGGAGAAGAGAAGGGCAGCAGGCAGCCTCCTCCTTACCTCATGCTGGCCACTCCGTTGCCTGTTTCACCATTGCAGCATGGCACCATGAAGCTTTCCCCACCCACCATCTCCCAGATGCCCTCGCTTCTCCCAAGGATTTCTTTGCCTAGCTGATTTGCAACTCCTTGCCATCATGTGGAGGGAAAGAAAAGTTTGTGTGGGGCTAAAAAAAAGTTAATCGCGATCGTTTTCTTTTGCTAGAAATTGGAATTGACTGATTTAACTTTTTTTTTAGCCCCACACAAACTTTTCTTTCCCGGCATACAATGGCAAGAAACGTGAAGGAGTTGCACATCAGCTAGGCAAAGAAATCCTTGGGGAATTTGTTCTCCCGGCCAGTTCAGCCCAGGCCAGGGGGAAAAGGAGATTGCCCCAGCAGTGAAGCAAGCCAGGCAAGCCCAGGGATGGTAGGGGGACAGCGCAGTGGCCTAGGACAGCTGGGGAGTCGACTCAACTGGGGCTTTCTTGCAGGCTTACTCACCCAGGAAGATCAGGGCCTTGGCAAAAGGCAGGCAGCAATGGCAGGCAAAGGCAGGTTAATAATGGCGAGCGAGATGAGGAGTGACTGGTGGGGTGGGTGGTGGGTGGGAGGGGAGGGGCGGGCAGGGAAGGGAAGGGCAGGGCCAGCCAGGGGTGCAATTTACCGGTTCTCCAAACTGTGCAGAATCATAACTACCGATTCTATAGAACTGGTAGAATCCCACCCCTGGCCTGGGGCAAAGGGAAGATCCCCCCCCCAGAAGAAGCCTAGAGAAAGTCATGCTGATATAATAGGTATGGGGGAGTCAAAGAGCCCAAGAGCCTCTTCCACAGACAGCTACTCAATGTCCCTGACCAAGTTGCACAAGCCATTTTGCCTATGTGGACTGCTCCTCAAAGACACCAGGCCCCAAAGGTCCCAGACTTGGGGGGTTACGTATGGGAGGGACCCTGAGCAACTGGGATTCCTCCTGGTGCAAGTCTGGAACTACTTGCAGGAATATGGAGATGGGAGAAGCCTGAATAAGATGGGTAAACATGGCTCTGGAGGGTGCAGCGACTGAGTGAATGGTCTTCCTCCACAATAACAATGCCCCCAACTGTGGAACTATGACGACTTTATGGAAGCCTTTTGCCAGCATTTCAAGGATTAACTGGCCAAGCGCAAGGCTTGGAGCTGGATAAAGACCATCCCCCAAGGACAATAGTCATGATCACATACTCTTAAAAGTTCCAAGAGCTGGCAGACTGGTTAGCCATGTGGCCAAAAGACATTCTTATCAACTGCTTCAGAGATGGCCTCAACGATGATGTCTACCATACCTGTGTCTCACACAGGGCCCATGAACCCTACAACGCTGGTATGTGTGTTGGCGGGGGAAGTGGAGATCGACCGATACTGGAGGGCCAGTGGATGGGGTGAGTCTATCCTTCCCACATGTAAAAAACACCCCAGGATCACAACATGCTTCAGATGTGGGAAGGAAGGAAACTGAGCTCAGCATGCCAACCCAGAAATCCCAAATTCAGCACCATGACAACCCCGAGGGAGGGGGCAATGAAACCAGTTCCTAGAACCAGAGAGACAGCACTGAAAGGTCTGGAGGTCGTAGAGTTCACCCCTCTGAGGGATTGGGAACTCCAACTTGGGTGAGACTGAAAGTGATAATGACAATGACCCCCTAGTAAGTCAGCAGGTGACCCCTGTAACTCTCCCTGTAGAAACTAGTGGTTCCCTCTTCAGGGACCCAAGGGAGGATGCTGGCTTTATTGGACTTGGGTTGCACTAGGTGCGTAGTTAGCCATGAAGTCATCAAAAAGCTGGGACTGAGACTCAACGGCTGAGGGTGCCCATAGTGTTTTGCCAGCTAGATGGGACTGTTGTCAACTCATAAAACATTCCTATGCCTGTTTTAGTAGTTGCCATTAAAAAAAGGGAAGGGAGGAAGGAAATCTGGAAGAGTAGTGCAGCAGTTTGAAAGCAAAAGTACATTCCAACTCTTATCTTTAAAAGATTGTAAACAAAATAATCGAACTTTTGCCCATGAATATACACTGCTCAAAAAAATAAAGGGAACACTTAAACAACACAATGTAACTCCAAGTCAATCACACTTCTTGTTGAGGTAATTCCCCATTAGGAGAATGAGCGCATACAAGGAGACGTATTTGAGAGAAGTGTTTGAATAATACACACACAGCAAATCAAACTGTCCACTTAGGTAGCAACACTGATTGACAATCAATTTCACATGCTGTTGTGCAAATGGAATAGACAACAGGTGGAAAGCACAGGCAGTTAGCAAGACTTCCCCAATAAAGGAGTGGTTCTGCAGGTGGTGACCACAGACCACTTCTCAGTTCCTATGCTTTCTGGCTGATGGTTTGGTCACTTTTGAATGCTGGCGGTGCTTTCACTCTAGTGGTAGCATGAGACGGAGTCTACAACCCACACAAGTGGCTCAGGTAGTGCAGCTCATCCAGGATGGCACATCAATGCGAGCTGTGGCAAGAAGGTTTGCTGTGTCTGTCAGCGTAGTGTCTAGAGCATGGAGGCACTACCAGGAGACAGGCCAGTACATCAGGAGACGTGGAAGAGGCCATAGGAGGGCAACAACCCAGCATCAGGACTGCTACCTCCGCCTTTGTGCAAGGAGGGACAGGAGGAGCACTACCAGAGCCCTGCAAAATGTCCTCCAGCGGGCCACAAATGTGCATGTGGCTGTTCAAATGGTCAGAAACAGACTCCATGAGGGTGGTATGAGGGCCCGACATCCACAGGTGGGGGTTGTGCTTACAGCCAACACTGTGCAGGACGTTTGGCATTTGCCATAACACCAAGA